CTTTATTTTTTAAATATAAAGGTTTTATTTATCTTTAAAAAGTAAAGTAAATATAAAGTAACACCCCTACTTCTGATTCTAGTTCAAAATATTCCTTAGATAAAATAAAATTACAGGAAAGCTTTATAACAAACTCATAATTCTGCTTTTAAACAAAATTCTAAGAAAAACTTCCGTTTAGATTAGAAATATATATATTCTTGTATTGATACAAAATTCTGTAGAGAATACAGAATTCTTACAAAATTCTGCCGGTAAACGATTAATTCTGCTTAGAATTCTGTTGTCGATCTAAGATAGTGTGTGTGTCTGTATACAATGACACAGGAAAGAAAGAAAATAACACAGGAAAGAAAGAATATAATACAGGAAAGAAAGAATATAGCATAGTTTATAAATGAACAGAATTCTCGAATTTTGCTTGGTGAGAATTCTGCCACTGCTGATATAATGATATTCAGTAGCTATGATATTTATTCAGTAGCTATAAGACTTATTCCGTAGCTTAGCTTAAGAAAATACAGCAGACTATATTTAAAAAAGTATCTCTTTTGAGAATGAGCCTAAAAGTCAACATTACTTTCATTGATTTTCATTATTTTGCAAACAGAGTTCAGTATGTATCCAACTAAAAACATTCTTGCAGTATTGATAGGTAATACTCCTCCATCATCAAATTTTACCTTCACGATATTTGCCGCTTGAAAAGAATATTTTTACCACTGATCAGAAATTTATTTGATTTTCATCGTGCAACGCGTTGGGACTCTCAAGTTGAGAGTGATTATTTATTTTGTAAATAGCGTTATTTTTATGACACATTCACGATTGCGCCTTATCTTATCAGAGAATCAAATAAAAGTATTACTTTTACGATGGAAAGATTCAAACGGAGAATGACTTTTATTAACTTTATTTGTCCTTTCTCATTTTATAGTGTTCTCTAAGATGCAATGAATTATCACCGCTTTGTAATATTTCAGTATATCAATAATACACCATATCAATTTTTTCGATATCATCAACTGATTATTTGCAGAGAATGTTTCAGTTTGTAAAAAGTATTATGATTGAATAAACCACTTGTAAGCATTCTGAAATTGTAAGTTTTTTCATTTCTATGTTCAATTCTATTTTGTTCTTATTATAAAATCTCTAATGAATTTTTCACTCTTTGAATTTTGATTTCACATTATAAATTATTCTTTGACAAGTAGAACAATATTAAGTTTCCAGGTTAAAAATGCATGTGTTATATTTCACATATATTCTCGAGGGCGTATCGTTGTAAGTTTAAAAGAAATATTTCGCTCCTTAATAATTACTTTCGTGCTACACCGTGAATGTGAATGATTAGTCATTGGCACTAATTAGCAATTGTGACTATTCTGTTACTATTTCTTTCTTTTTCCACCGAATAAAATAAGAGAAAAGACAATGGATATCCCAATTTTGGACGTTGAATAAGCAGTATCTGCTAGGATTACTGATACTAGGAGCCTGTTTATGATTCCAAGCGAGATCCTAAAAATCGTTAAAATAACATACGATTACTTAAGAATATTAGACATATTTCCGTTGGACTAAAGCTTTTTCTAGATAACTAATCTAAAAAGTGACATTCCCAAAGAGAGCCTGGGCTGAGATATTGAAGTTTTCAGCGAATTTTCTGAGCAGCAGCTCACTTGAACAAAAAAATAATATTTAAAAATTGCTCTGTGAAACTCTGAACACACAAAAGCCTTAGTGAGACTGACTTGCAGAAAAAAATTCAGAAGAATCCTTTTCTTACGTATGAGTTTGGCAGAATATTAATATGCTGCTACAGAAATGGTATGCTTTGAGAGATTATTTGGTCGAAGAGAGCTTATCCTAAAACTCTGATCTTTTTTCTGTAGGCTAGTTTCATGAAGACGTGTGCGCCTACAGACCTTTAGGTCGGAATTCTCAAATATGGAAGGATCCACAAAAAATTAATTTTATATCGTTTTACTTTTAGAACTCCCAAGTAATCTTTCAATCCTTTTAGTCCCTTTAGTTCCTCTAGTTCCTTTAGTGCGTAATCAACCAATAGCAAGCCAACAAATTTCACCGAGCTTAAATCCTCCACTCAAACATCCTCATTACCTAAAATATAATATTCAATGATTCTTCATGCATAGTATAAATCTATATTCGAATGCTTGAGATCTTGATCTCAATGAATACGAAATAAAAAAAGGCACTGAAAGGGCTAAAAGAAGTAAATGTGGCTATACAGATTAAAATATTCTAAGATAGTTTGTTGCATCTTAGCATACAAGTACAACGATATAAAATTATGTTTTCGTCGACCTATATAATGGGTAGCAATAGAAAGCTGCGGAACTGATATTGAATTTTGCACTATTTGTACGAGGAGAATTGAAGAATAAGTAAGAAATTTTTAAGTCATAGACCAACAAAGTAATATTCTTCTTATTCAGATTAATTTAGTCTTGATCAAAATTATTGTGACATATCGCCTTCAGATACTTTACTGCTATCTGATTATCCGGAAAAACAGTAATTTTGATGTTGGGTACTATGAGATGCACATCTATATTTAAGTATAAACCAACGATGCGAATCCAATACACTATTGTATTGACCTTCTCAATGTTCTTAGTATTTATAATACAAATACGTCTTTATTTATCAAAATTTGAACTTACTTCACCTTTTATTGAAACCAAATCTGTGAGCACAAATATTCGATATAATTATGGTAATCAAATCAATATTGGTTTCAGCGATTTCGAACTTATTCAGGCCAAAAATCGTGAAATTGAACTCCAACAAAAGTATGATTTAACCGCAGTTTTACTTCATTGGAAACGATCAGACAGTACCAAATTTGTCCTAGATTATTTACTTTATTCTAATCTGTTCAAAGAAATTATCATTTGGAATAATAATCCACAGACTAATCTTGAAAAATCTCTATTTCAAAACTATAATCATTCATTAGAGTCTATTCGTATAATTAATTCAAAAGAGAATCTCAAAGATGAAGCCAAATACCGTGCATGCGTTGAAGCAAAAACAATGGCTTGTTTCTATGTGGATGATGATTGGGATGCATCATCCTATTTGAAAAGTCTCGTAGCTGATTTTAGAGCTGATCCATATGTGTTACATTCTGCTACCGATCCATATACTTTCTATACAAATTTAATATGGACCTATTTCGACAGGGAAATCGATTTGCATAGTGGTTTTTCATGGATTGGTTGTGGAAGCATTTTCTTACGTGAATATGCTCAACGGCATCTCCAATATTTACAAATGCATTTGAAAAATAACAGTAGTAAGTAAAAGTTTTAGACATCATAAATACGAAGGAATGATAAAATTACTTGCTTCAATAGATTTGATGCATTTCAGCGATGTATTTTTTTCTATTTGGCTCAATGATATTCCATCACAATTCAATATGAACATTCGTCATTTGCCTGCAAGTAATGCTGGTGTATCCTTTTCATCGACATCAAGTTTCTTCAACTATCAATATCAAAGTTCGATTTTAGCTATCCGTATTCTCGAACGTAATCTTCGTTATAATCAATCAAAAGATGTAAACCATTTGGAATTTTCCCGTCGACAAAATCGTCGTTTCCCGAACTACATTAAGTCGTCTGGTGGTAAAGATGAATTTATATTTTTTACTAATATTCTTCCGATGGATATCGAACGGATTCCATTTAATATTTCAAAAGATTTTGAAAGAGGTACACGAAATAATCTACCAAAAGGAACGAACGTTTCGTTTTTCTTATCTCATACGACGACTTTGAATGCAGTGGATAATGATTCGAAAACTTGTTGGCGACCTGGAAGAAATGTGCATCGAGGTGAATTCTTTGCTATTGACTTTCTGTACATTCGAACAAATCTGTCGTTTTCAATTACTGTCGCGCATGGACAAGAATTACAAAATAGTCTTGATCTAAATTTATCATTCGATGGTGTCTGGTGGATAGCTTATCGATCATTTAACGGAATCACGATCAGAAACCAAAACTTGACATCGAATATACAACAATATAAGATTGTCTTTAATGCTACTGAATTTAATACTGGTTTTCATTCTTTTCGATATATTGTTTTCAATTCAAGTAAACTTTCTCCATGGGGTGAATTTCAAGTATGCGATGTACAAATGATGGCAAATATGATTTCTACACCATTGCAATGAACTACAATCGTTCTATTATTAATTTGTGGTTTGCTTTCAATGACAGATGCCTAGTTTTGAAACTATAGTTATATTTATTTACAAACTGAAATATCAAAGTAATCAATAAAAAATATTCACATAGAAAAATCTTTATAAGTATTTTGGTTGACTTCAGCAAAGGAAGACAGTAGACAAAAGGAAATCTTGTAGACTTCTTCATGAAAATACGAAAAAGTAAACGATTAATGCTTTTGAATGCTTGTTTTTTCTTTCATCATCAAAGAATATTAGAGAAAAAGAGCTGGCAGTCGTTATTTCGGATAGCTCTACAGTATTTAAGCTCGAAAAGATTTGTGCGTTAAGAAGGATTACAGTTGAGAAAAGAAATGGAGGATACAGCGAGAGAACTTAACATACCCAAACCAAACGATATGTAGCAAAAATCATAGAAATGCATAAATAACCATGGCTCGACTGATCGTCTTCAGTTTTTTTACGTGGACATTCATTTTCAGTATAGCAACGAATAAATTAGGGAGCTTTTTCACTAGTATATGACAAAGCAATGTTAAAAGAGTTTATATCAATTGATAATACTAAAATACGGAAACAATTTTCAAGCGACATCCATTATAGTAGGTTTTATCGACGCTGAAAAAAATCATCATACTTTGTCGTCACAGTGAAAACAGTTATATTTAAACTTAAATATATATATATTCATAGCTTTGCATTAGATTTTGTTTTTCGACTGACTTGCTCACACTTAGACGTATAAATAGTTATACACAGAAACAAATTTATATTTAGTACTTCTGAAAGACCTACAAAAGTCCAATTCATATTCACTATCTATTATTGAGTTTGACAAGCTCATACTGTGATTCGCCTATAAAAATGTAAATGAATCAATGCATGTAGCTTAGTTCACCTTTATGCCGTATAAATCTTTGCATAATTTTAGTTTTGTACATACGAGTTTCGTTGAGAAACGTACAGCGAAATTTTGTGTCATTTTGAATATATGACATCAGAATTAGTTGTAAATTTCTTGGGCAAATCATTACTGATTTCATTTTAAAATCTAGAATGTTGATTATCTATCCACTAGATTCCTCCACGGGTAAGACTATTTTAGACATGTATACAGCATACTAGGATTAAAATGTAATCGAAGAATAGTGTGGAATTGCGTTAGTAATAAATATTTTCTTTTACAATTACAGAATCCTACTCAATGTAAAAAAAATTGGATTAATAAAAAGATTAAAAATCTATTGTAATTGCACTATTATAATCGATTTTTAATCTTATTATTAATCCAATATTTTTACATGGGTATTTAGTGTAGATGCTGTTGAAGCTTCATCGATGAATCAATACTTTTGTACTAATATAAAATGTGTCTATGGCATATGCAGCACATTCTGAAAAGTGATTCTTATCTAGATATCGGCACATGTGTTATTCTTTTTTCACAGAGAATAATTCAAGGGAAGAAATGCACAAATAATGATTATCATGTTTCATTTTTTTGTAGATTAATGTAATATCTCTTCCAACTACTAGCTGAATTACTGGAAAAACAGAAACATGAATTCTAAGGAAGTTGGACGTGTTGGGCTGTTAACTGTGATACTTCTTCTGTTTTGTTACGTCATTATGTCGAATGTTCTTGTCAAAAATAATAAAGACTTTTTCTCACCGCGGAGAAATATTTTTAGGGTCAACCACGATAGAGCGACATATAGATATGATCATTCAAAGATAAACTCTGTAAATAGTACACATCTACCAAAAGTACTAATTGTATTAGGTACACGTCCTGAAGGGATTAAATGTGCTCCGTTGATTGCCGAACTAAAATCAGATTATTATCGTTCAAGATTCGAAGTTATTGTACTCAGCACCGGGCAACATCAACAAATGCTACGACAAGCCTTGATTGCATTTCAACAAAAAATTGATATCGACTTAAATTTAATGACACACAATCAAACATTATCGGATTTATTCAATCGAGTGTTTTCAGAAGTAGCCAATCAAATCAATATTATTCGACCTAATCTTTTAATAGTGCAAGGTGATACAACGACTGCACTTGCTTCTTCTTTAGCGTCTGCATATCATAGTATTCCGGTCGCACACGTTGAAGCAGGTCTTCGATCATTTAATCTATTGAATCCCTATCCAGAAGAACTTAATCGTAAGATAATTGATTCTTTTGCAAAACTTATGTTTGCTCCGACAACATTCGCTAAAGAGGTACTTGTTCGTGAAGGTGCCTGTGAGACGGATATTTTTACTACTGGAAATACCGGTGTCGATGCATTCTATCATCACCAAAATCGAACTTATACAATGAAAAACGCCTCAATACTGAGAACTATCGATAATTTTAAGAAGAATTTTACGAGTGAAATCAATTCTACTATCATTTTGGTAACCATGCACCGACGAGAAAACTTCGAATACTTGTCAGATATGTGTCGTGCTGTAGCTACCATAGCAAAAGAACATGAAAAAATGTCTTAATTATTTTTCCTGTTCACCCTAATCCAAATGTGAAACATGTGGTATTCAATAGTTTCAGTGGGTTAAATAATGTAAAAATTGTTGACCCTATATCATATGAAATTTTCGGACACGTTTTATCACAATCAGATATTGTGATGACTGATTCAGGTGGAATTCAAGAAGAGGCTGTTAGTATTGGTAAAAGTGTTATATTGATGAGAATGACTACTGAAAGACCTGAAGGAATCTATCTCGGTACAATCAAACAAATCGGTGTTCTCTATGATGAAATTGTCCAAGCAACTAATTTGGAATTGATTAATGTTAAGTCAAAAAATCGAACATTAAAAACCAATATTTTCGGTGATGGACAAGCATCGAAGAAAATTGCAGCTATCATAGATAATTACTTTTATCAGGGGCATAGACCGAATTCCAAATGTACAACTAAATTTCGTCAAGATTCCATTGCTCGAGCTGTCTACTCTAACTTGAATGCGTCTATTCGAACTCCACTGTCACATACTTTAAGACGAAACATAATAAATAATCTTACGAAAGTTCGATCTGCTCTAACCCTCAATGAATTACTCAAAATACCTAGTCGGTACAACGTATCACTGAAAACCGACCAGCAATTTGCAATCACAGCTGTCATCGGAATCTATAGACGTGAAGGCTTAATTCGGCGATGGATTGAAGCACTTCTTTTGCAAACACATCCACCCAAAGAAATATGGATTATCTACTTTGCTTCACCGATTCCACATAAACTCAATCTTGAAATTCAAGAAACACGCTCATTATTTGCTAATGGGTCAAATCATTGTAATGAATGGTGTACACAGAAAAAGTGTGACACAAGCAATAATAGTAGTAACGGTATCCTATCTAATTGTATCCAGCAATGCTTAACTTTGTGCAAGCAACTACCTTCCATGCTATTTGTAGCCATGGGAGAAATGCAATTGAAATATTTCGGAAGATTTCAACTTTCACTTCAATGTCAAACAAAATATGTCATTGTTTTCGATGATGACTGTATACCTCAGATACGCTATTTTGAAACTGCATTGCATACAATTAATACTGAACCATATCGAGGTATACTGGGAACTAAAGGTACTCCCGCGTCAGAAAGCTATTACTACGGTCCTGTATCAAAAGCCAATCAAATAATTGAAGCTGATGTAGTTGGTGGCAGTTGGTTTATGGAGAGTGAATGGGTGAAACTGATGTTCCATGATAAAATGCAGTCATGGAATACAGGTGAAGATTTTCATTTATGTGCGAATGCACGAAAATATGCCAACATAAGAAGTTTCGTCATGCCTGTAGATGCCAATGATATTTCTACTCATTCCTTCTCGAATGATTATCTCTCCATAAGTGATCGAGGTGATACTACTGGACGAGTAGCAGGAACTGCATCAAGTAGAAGACACATTGTAAATCAATTGTGGTTGCGGGGGGATCGTTTGATGGATAGCTACAAAAAATCGAGACCAGCATTGCTAGTGTATGCAGAGACAAACAATGATGCTTTGATGCTAATAGAAAATGTACGAAAACAAATGGCTAAACTTAGTGGTTCAATTCATTTTGTACTTCAAATGTCTTAAAAACCAATTTGGTAACTAGTGAAATAAAAAAAATGGTTGTGTCATTTCACGATTTCATGGTTGGACGTGATTATGGCTCTGATCCAACGCCAATCACTGCTGCTGCAGAAGTTCTCTATGCTTTTGATATGGTTATGCAAGGAACGCAAAGTACAGCAATACTTATCTTAGGCTCTTCATCAACAGGAACCCTGTTTGCGCTGGTTGCAGCAGCATTTTTAAGAAACATTCCTATTATAAACATTTACATGGAAAATAGTGTTATTGATGTAAGAACAGCAGAAGCTATATTGGCAATGTCTTCGGCCACTATTCGAGTTTTCGGTAAACTAGCACCTAATAGTTTAGAGACTGAACAACTGAATCATATTTTGCTCGAACTTTACCAATAGATTTAACAAACTGAACAATATTAAAAACCCAAAAGAAATATGGTGTTCTCAATTATAGTTTGGATTTGAGAATGTATGGATGTATGTTTAGATATTGTTGGCAAGAAGATTCACACTAAACATGCATTCTACTAGTCCAATAATGAATTCTGTTTTTTTTATAAATGCTGTTTGTCAATGAATATGCATCATATGTTATTTTTTTTCTCTGCATTAAATATTGCTCTCATGTTGTACGCATACTGAATGATTTCAAATGCTTTTAAGCTATGGTATACATTTTTTTCCAGATTTTTGTAAAACTTATTAGCATAATTAAAAAAACTATCATTTAAAGATGCCACCAAGACTGCTGAATGAAATGCTCTTTTCCATGTAGCTTTGGTTATATAGAAATTCAATTGACTTAAAGAAGTCCGTATTATGAACACTTGTAAAATACATACAGTTTCAGAATAACTACCCAGGTCGATCAAATTGTGTCATACACGGCCGTTTGGTATGCACCGTATTTCGGTCGTTTTGCATCGTGCTATCAACGATCGTATACGGTCGGAAACGTTATAAAAAGGTAGTATACGTTGCCGTTTACAATCGTATCAGGTCGTCGTAATGTTCGACCTGGGTAGATGATAAAAGTGGTATGTTCATTATATAATGAATTTGAATGAGACATAGTATCAAAGTTTAAAAAAATATGTTGAACACAACAATTAAAGTATCCATGTATGAATGAATAAAATGATACTAGAAGTTTTTAATATCTAATAAATCACAATATGATACTCATTTTTTTCTCTACATTATCATAGTTAATGAGCAGAAGCAAACAATTTACTGATGTAGTTGTAATAATAATGTATGTGTTTTCATTGCCAACCTCACAAATACTTTATCTATACACTTCCATTCTTGAACGATTCGAAGAGAAACATATACTGAAGATGTAGTTTTCTTAGCCAAGTACTACTATATGCGCGTATAAATAAATTAAAATACGTATCTCAAAGTAAATGCATCCAAAAACATATTTGCTGTTTTCATGTACACATGAGTGAACCCCTCAAACGTGTTGTATTCACCTTACAGATTGGACAAATTTAATTGGAAGACATGTAAATTAATTTCATTATTAAAAACATATGAATACGGCCGATTGTGTTTTGCAGTGAGAATAAAAACGCATTTCAATGCGCGAACTTTATCTTATGTCTACAAAGTATTCAGGCTCTCCAAACGCTTGCACAGAAAAGACAATGAGAAATGCGTCTATCGGTGTTTTTATCATGGTTTGATGACAAAAACATAACTGAGTGCAGCGCATTGCAACATAGACATATATAGTGGCGTCTAAAAGATGTGTTTGCTGATTACATAGATGTAGTGAACATTCTTCCTTTTGCTGTGCAACAGCCAATGCATGTTGCATGTATCGACAGAAAGTTGAGTTTTACATTTACTTTAATTTTCAAGTTGTTGATTCACCAATTCTACTCGCTGCCACATGGCAATTTCTTCCTTCTTCTCTTCCGTGGTATGAAAACAACTGACGTGTTGTTTTGCTGCATATATTTTCAACTTTCTCTTTCTCGAAAAATGCTGTCGGAGGAGAACTGGTAAGTAATATTTTGCAGTTTTGGCTACTGTTCAATCCCTTTACCAGATATTTATTTTTCAAGAGCTTCGCCTTGACAGCTACTGTTTATATATTAATTCTGAAATAATTTAAGTTTTTTCTATCAGATTAACTTTTTATCGTAAATGTTCAATTTTTTCATCGTTTTTAGAAAAATATAGTATACCCAAAGGCTTTATGGTTTTTTTGAGTCAGTCAACGAGCAAACAAAGAATATCAGCGTAAACTGTAATGTGAAATCATAAAAGTCAGATATTTATGACAGAAACATAAAGAATTCGATGACGTGTCAACATTGCGTAAAGATTTATTCGTCATGTTCTTTCACGATACTTGTACATATAACTTTCTGTAGATTCTCTATTTTCTGGATCTCATCTAAATTTTTTTTTCTATTAAAATGATTGTATCTGTGTATTTTTTTCTCTTTGAAATAGGACAATTTCTTTTTAATTTGTGAATAAAATATTCTACGGATACTATTCAAAGTCAATACAACATTTTTATATTTTTACAGCACCTTTACAAACCTTATCTAAAGTCTCTTGCAACTCTACTCTTCAGATCATTATTAGAATTGAATCTTGTTGTATGTGGTCGACAATTTGCAGCAAACAAATTATCGATCCGTAGTCTTTCGAAGCTGAAATGTTAGCTAGCATAATTAACCTGATATATTCAAAGAAAATAATTCACTATAAGATTATTTTCCAGGAAAGTTGTGTTCCCATATTTCTCAAGCGAAGTTCACCCATGAATGAGGATGGATTCTGATGTCAAATGAATAGTTCGACTGAGTTCAATATCTTGGATACCAAAATGTCCAGATTTAAATCGACTTGAGCTTTTAGTCTGAGTCTTTCAAAACAAGAATTAGTGATATTGACGATATAAATAACAGACTTGCAAGAGAAACTGGAGCTCTGCAAAAAGGGACACCAGATAATGTTTCTAAAGGTGCTGTAAAAAGTTTAACAAGTTATATTGATGTGAATATTTAGGCAGGTTACATTCTAACTGGCTTCTACTGGATCTTAACGAGGACTATCAAACATGATTTAAGTATGAATGTCAGAAACAGTGCAAGTGCGTCAATACTCAAACTCACACCTTCATAGCGAATAGGGTAGCGTTTCTGTGCAGATCAGTTTTTGATTGTACACAAAATGCAACATGCAAGCTAATAAACTAAAGTATCACTATTTTTTGTCTTTCCAGAGATCCGAATCCATACAGAGTGATCATTTTCTTTTCCATACTGGATATGGCTGAATATATCAAAGGAGACAATCTGGATTTGTTCATGCGTATATCAGACATTGTGAAAGAGCCCATTCAAACGTTGATCGCGATTGATGATCTCCAAGATGTTCCACTTGTGCCACTTGAAATCGCTGTCGAATCTTTGACACTATTTTTACCGAAAATTGCAAGTTACGCTTCTACAGCCAAGGAACGATGCGAAAATCCTCGTTCTGATGGAATGAGTGTCGATGAGTCAGCTGCTATTATGTTATACACTATGGGATGGAAGCCAACTGAAAAATGTCTTTACGTTGTATTGAATGCCACTCTAAGATCGGAAGACAGAAGCAAACGTAAACATTGGCTTTTCTATCTCAAACTTTTTCTCACTGCCGTATCCAAAATTCCGTCTCAACATAGACATGTTTTTCGTGGAATTAAAGAGGATCTACATGAATACTATCCTAGTGGGAAGACAATCGTATGGGAAAGCTTTTCATCTTGCACTGTTTCCATTGATATCTTACAATCGAACCCATTACTAGGCACCTCAGGAAAAAGAACTATTTTTGATATTGAATGCAATTCTAGCAAAGATATTAGTCAATATTCTTATTGTCCAAAAGACAAGGAAGTAATAATTATGGCTGCAACACAATTTATTGTAACCGGCTGTCTCAATCAAGGCAACGATCTCGTCACAATTCAACTCAAAGAAACGAAGCCTTCTCATCATCTTCCACAACCAGTTACACACTTTTCTGAATCGAAAAAGACATATCGAAGTAAGAAAAGTAATTTCCGTTCGATAGCCGTTTAACATGTTAGTTAAAGTAGCTAAAAATTTGTTGGAAATATCAACTTGTTACTATATCGGCAGATTACCATTGTCATGATCTTTGTTTTTGAAACTGTGAATCACTAGTGCAAGATTAAAGGTCAACAGTAAATGAGTGATTTTTCTTTCTAGAAAGAGAAAATATAATTCATTTATTATCATCTGTGTTTAACAATTGCTCGAGCATATGTAAAGAAACAGTCACTAACATAAAACTTAAATTATTTATTTCTCAAAGCGTTCATAATTCACATATTGGAATAGAAGATACTAAAACAAAGTGCTCCTGTCACAATGAACTAGTCATATCGCCGAGAGTTTTATTCATACTTTTCCTAAAGTAAAAACTCAAATCTTCAGCTCGCAAGAAGATCTAGCAAAAGTCATATCGCTTCTGTTCTTTTGGAATCTTGTGTATGGATGAAAAATAACGACAAATTTTTAAAATTCCAATAGAGCTTTTATTAATATTCGAATTTTTTAAGTATTACAGTTTCTCAGTCTTTTCCGTTAAAAATTATATTGCTGCGAAATTTCAGCTGAGCAGTTATGAATCTCAAATAATAGAGAGCTTTTCTCCGAATTCGCTTGCTGTTAGAAGTAAATGGATTGCAATATTCTGTGTCGACTTGAAATGTAGCTAACGCGGTTTCTGTGTATTGGCAAGAAATTCTGTCTTTGCGAAAACTATTTTCTCGTTGTTCTTGTAAAAAATAATTGCTTCGATGAATTACGACTTCTAATATGCAACGCCTCTATCTACTATTTAAAAAATTATATGTTCTTCCGATGAGAAATTGTTTCAGGTATATGGCTAAACTTTTAAGTAATAGAGATAGACTTAGCTAATATAGACAATACATAGGTATGCCAAGAGTATATGTAGCGATTGTTATCATCATTTCGGAAAATAAATTTCTAAAACTTTGATCTACGTACTTTTTACACTTACTCAAGATAAAAACGATGATCAACGTATCCGATCAGTTCAATATCGTCTGAAATATTCGGCTACTGGGGAACACGATCTAGGTCATTCAAATGAATTAGAATCTACAGAATTATGTCGTGATGGTGGTCGTTGCGAAAATATGGATCCCGATCATCTAAAAGCTTATCGACATGTACCTTTATGTAGATATCGTCTTGAATGTGTCGATTTTATTCGTGGATCAGCTGAACATTGCAGAGATTATCGTCATTGCAAACCAACATGTCGTTTTGGCCATTTTTGTGTGAAATTTCATGATGAAAAGCATTTTAGCGAGGAAAACCATCCATTTCAATCACCATGCCCATTTACACCATTCCATTGTCGACAATATAATAGTTTATGTGAAACGAATAATACCAGAACCTTGCCTATCGATGTTCAAAAACATTGCCTTCAATATTCACATGTGTGCCGCTACGGCCGTCAATGCTATGAAACATCGGATATACATTGGAAAACTACAATTCACGTTATCCGTAACATCTGTTCATGGGGTGATAAATGCACAAAAATTGATCAAGAGGATCATTTAACTTCATTTTCTCATCCAGGCATTGTTGATATTCGACGATTATGTCCTTATCAAGCCAATGCATGTCGAGATAAACAAAAACCTGAACACATAAAACAATATCGACATAATGGAAAGCATGATAGTAGCGGTGTTATTAGCTGCTTCGGACAAAACAATAAAACTAATTTCGTGAAAAATCAGGAAAGAACTATTCAAGCGATAAATAAATATGCGAAAACTTTAAATCCCAACAATATATTATCGATTCCGATGGAAATTCAAAAATGGATTAAAGGCTTACAACCAGTTCATCGATGCTCAAAAGTCATTTTTGAATCGATCCTTGTTCATGGTCATGTCATGTCGCGTAGCCATATGGAAAACTTGAAAAGCCCACTTTTTGTAGCGCAAGCTGTACAAGAACACAAACGTATTCGTGGAATCTTCGATCGTTATAAAACACCCGCCATAGAAGATCATGTTAAAGAATATATTCGAGCAATTGTATCTTTAGAATACAGTAAAAAACACAGCGGAATTACAGTAACTGACGCAACTCCTAGTAAAACGCCCATGCCGGTTGGCTCCGATGATTATTATGATACAATACTTAAAAAGGAAAGAATTTTTCCAAGTTTAATAAAGCCAGACGAAGTTATTATAATTAAAAACTGTGCCATTGGTATAGCTGAAGCTTCGTGGAATCTTCATAATTCCCCTAGTGGTATCGGATATTCAAATGATAAAGCGTTAGGTACTGACAAACATGTTTTTAGTGTTCTTGGACCACATCTGGGACATTACTATGGAGATATATGTCTTGTGTTTAAAAGTGATGTAATGTTTCATCCAGATACTAATTTTTCTCCTCAAGCGGCAACGTCATTTATGAGTGGAAGGACATTTTTGTATCGACCATGGATCAAAGATCCGGGCACTAGTGCCGAAAAGATAAGGTGTTTTCATGAATCGAAACTACATTGTGCTATATCGGGATATGAATATGCAGTGGCAGCAGAATTAATAGCTGTCTCCGGATTAGAGAAGAAGACATTGGCGGTGGATTTGAAAACTATTATAAATCGTTGGACAGAAGTTGATGCTCATCAAGTATTGGAGGCCCATTTACCTCAATTGGTTCCGCTTGATTATATCGAAGAAGTATATATACCAAGAAATCTTTTCGCATCTCTTACTTCAACAGCTCAAGAATCAGCTCAAAAAGTATTTCGTGATGCGCTTCATATTACAAATCATGACATTAATCTTACTGATGCTGGTGGCACAGGCCCACATCCACTAGCTAAGAATCGTTCTGACTATCAAGATTTTGTCACCAATACGTTGATAAAAAAATTTGAGAAACGAAAAGAGTACGAAAAGCATTTTCGTGGCTTTAGTCTTACTCTAGCGCCAAGCCAATGTATGGATCACACTGCTTTACCATTAACAATAAGTGATGCTTATGATCAATATTGTCGAATTCATAAACGAAGTTCGCATGATGATAAGAATATATATATTTATTGGGAAGCGATGTATGGCGATATGATGCTTACTCTTTCCGATGAACCGATCAATCCTCATGTAAGTCAACCGCATATTCGATGCCTAGTTTGCTATATTGCTGAGAGACCAGCAACAACAACATTGAATTATAATGAATCATATTCATATTTAAATGCTGGTGAACCATTTCGGCATGGTGTTATCAAAACAGATGGTCGATGTTCAAGTAGTTCGCAGTCATTTCATCGTGGTTGTAATGTTGATGATTTTCTTACATATTGTCTTAGAATCGACAAGAACACAGGTCAAATAACACTTTCACATGCTGGACCCAATAGTATTTATTGTTATGAAACAATCACATGTAAATTTTTTAAGGCATCTCTCGATTTAAACAAATTACAATATATTCATGTTAGTGCTGGTTCACAAAAAGTGCCCGTTCGAAATTTAATTATTAGTTTTGAACTGATGTCCGATTTGCATCCATCATTTGATACGAATTTTAAACGAGGCGATGACGCTTTTCCTCGTAGTAAAAAATCCTATGATGTTGACCGAGCTACATCTATTAAAACTCCACCTAGTGATTCTTTAGTTGATGGTGTCACTGATAAAAAACTTGCCCCATGCCAGTATTCAATTAATTGTCGATTACAAGAATCAGCAAAACATATAAAAGAATATTCTCATCCTTGTCCATACTCCGAAATTTGTCGGTATAAAAACAACGAACCTCATCTAACTCATGAACCTCGTCGAGTAGAACAATGCCCGTGGATAAGTTCGTGTCAAAAACTTGATGATCCTGTTCATCGTGCGAAATATCGACATCCTGGCTATCCCGATTTTATTATGCCATGCTGTGATGGAATCAATTGTCGTAATAAAACATCCGATCATCGAACAAAATATTCACATGGCGAACTAATTGATATAAACGAATTTCTGTCGTGTAAGTAGTTAATTTGTTGAATTTAAATAAAATATTACTTGCCTTTTTCACTCGTTTTAATTCAATGAAATAGCCCGAAAGTTACCACTAAAATACTATTCTAAACATGACGAAGTAGAAGACACTGATATAAAAACAAGCCGCCCCCGAACACCTTGCCGATATGGATCTGGTTGTTCCGATCAGTCTGATAGCGGTCATTCTTCGACATATTCACATCCTTCAGACATTGCGTCTAAACGTTTGACTAGTGCAAGTCTTAAGCGAGTAGCTTGCCGTTATGGACATGATTGTCCGAATCAAAATGATTATGATCACTGTTCGCAGTATTCACATCCTTGTGGCGAATGAATTCGAGAACATGAAAGATCCTGTCATCATAAATAACTTTGAAAGTTCGAGAATAAATATCGTGACATAATCCTACTGATTTTCCCTTATGTTTCTCTCTGAACCAATGAAAGTTGATTTTTTTTCTCTTTATATAGACAATAAAAATGAATGAAACGTGAGTGTATAAGCATTCTACTGAGAACAGGACACGAGTTCGAATCGCGCCAAGAAATCAAATTCAATATTTATTTGTGACAATTTAAGAAATTAAATATCAAATTTTATTTCATTAAAGCGATACTAACAACATTTAAATATCAAATTTTATTTCATTAAAGCGATACTAACAACATTTAAATATCAAATTTTATTTCATTAAAGCGATACTAACAACATTTAAATATCAAATTTAGTAGCGTTCGTTTGTTGGTACTACTTGCATATTTTTATAGCGATGGCGTCTCAGTAATACAATTATTTTATGTACAACAAAAGGCACAACCAGCTTGAGTAGAACGGTTAATCCACCATAGAGACCTACAATAGTTGTTACAACATAGAGTGCATTGTACCGTTTGATTAATTTGTATGAACATGATGTTGGTTGACATTGTTGAAAATATTTTGCATAAGAAATATTCCATGAAAACGATTCAACAAACATTTCTTTAATGATGTCATTTATTGGTAAGTAAGAACTAAATCTAGAACTACTAGAATTTAATGCTTGAGGAATAGTATATGAGTTCACATAAGACGATATTCTATCAACGCACGATTGATTGTAGAGACATTCGAATGTAGATTGCAAGAATGATTCTGTAGGGAGACATCCGACAACAAAGCCCGGCACATAAGGTATTGAAGATTGTATGCATGAAGAGGAAGTGGCACAATCACATTCTTCATATATTCGCGATTTTGCATATATAGTAGCATCTTTTGTCAAATTACGTAGAAATACGCCCCAATTCGTTGAATATCCTGACATAATGCCATTTCCTTGTGCCATTTCAATAAGCATCTGTAGACTAGCTATGAAATTATTTGATATAGTCGTTGTAAAAAAATTCTGTTCCGCAGTGATTGTTGAATTAAATAGATTGTAGTCAAGCATGCGTGCCGAAGCGACTTGTGTAGCAAGAAAAAGATCTCGAGCATCTAGTACGGCTTGTCTCGTTAAGTCACACATAATGCGTAAAGACTGAAAATGAGCAAAAGCATTTTCAGCAAATGTGAATATGTTGTTGTCTGTTGCTGTCTGATTTTCGTAAGTCGTAAATAAACTATTCAACCAATCAACATTGATAAAATCACTCGAACATACTTGATGAAAAATAGGCTCGAGTTGATAATATGCCGCATGTTGAAAAGATAGTGTTGTGCACGGACATTCAGCGATATTTGAACCATATAGATTTTGCAAATATTGAAACTGCTCAAGCGAAGAAATTGCCATCACGTGATTATTTTGTTGGTATATCAATGATGTATAAGCGACAAGAATAAATAATGCAAATAAAAGGACAAGAAAATATACACGAGTTGATTGCCGTTGAACATGAAGTTCAGATTCGCTCACAGTTGTTTTATGAGATTTTTCAAACACATTCAACGATAGTAGATATGCAAGCATTTTTTTACGTGCTAGATTTCTCTGGACTGCAGCATTGTTTCCTAGAATGAATGATAGATATTTTTCTTATATGAAAATCAGATATCTCTTCTATTTTTTGATGATTATTTAATAGCGAAATTCTTCATATAAATTGACTAATGTGTTGTTTTTAGCATACTTACGTTGTTCAAGTGTACTATTGTCGTGTGACGAATGATATTGTTCAAGTAGCTTGATAAATCCTAAAACAACATAAGGAACCATAATTCGAAAAGCAACGGATAATCCTCCAATGAGTCCAGCAACAATCGTAAAAACTTCAAGTGCATTCTTTTGTGTATTAACTATATAGGAGCAGTAGGCTGGTTGACATTGAGCAAAATAGGATGGATAAGACAAAGTTGTTGACCATGATTCAATAAATAGTTCTCCAAGAAGTTCATTAATGGTCGTATTTATCATAAAACGACTTGGTTTAGATGCATCTAGAGGAGTCACTTGGATAAAAATACTGTCATTGGTAACATTATACATCATGTCGAGACATGAGTGATTACTATAGAAACATTCAAGAGTCGAGGGAAGTAAAGATTCGACAGGATAACATCTTGAATAGAAACCAGGTACAATGAATATTATTACTCTTGCACCACTTGGTCCTGTATACAGAGCTGCCATCCTTCCACATTGAATATCGTTGGCACAGGAACAACTCTGTGTTGTTCCGTTAGGTAACGTTGAACTACTACCGTAAATGCCTAGTGTTGTATTTATTTGTGCATACTCTTGAACGCTAGAATACTGGATATAAAAATTCGCGTATGAGCCTGATAGAAATTGATTCATGTATGTGATATTGCGAGTTAATTGTAACAGACGTAACAAAGAATTGGGTGCTGTTAGTTTGAATTGTGCTATGGCTGATTCTAATTGTTCTGCAAATAAATTTGGTTCGAGAAGAGCAGCACTCACTAATTTCGTTTGTCCAAATACGAATAAAGCATTATTTAGAGTATCATTTGCCAAATCACACATTGACTTGAGTAATTGAAATATTGGACCAGAATAACGAAAATCTGCATAATATAAACTTTCAATTGAGAGTGAAGCCACTTTGCCAAGTCCTGCAATCCATTTCGGTGTAACAAAGTCACTAGAGCAGACTTGGTGATAGTCCGGTTGTAGATCAATTAAATCTTCATAGGAAACAGATAATTTTGTGCATGGACATTCCAGCTCAGTCGTAATCGATTGCAAATAAGTCACTCTGAGTAGAGATGGATTTTTTATTTCTATCGTTTGCGAATGTATAATTAACCAAGTATAAAGAGAAAGAAAGAGTGTAGCAAGAGCAAGAAGTATAATATAGAGACGAGTTGACCATTTTTGATGTTTTCTATCGGCGACTGTATTTTTCGTCTGAGATTTGAAAATATTCAGATTTACGAAAAGTTCCCAAAGCTTTTTAATCGATTCGCGATGTGATCGAGGTAATTCTTAATATAAAATAAAGATTAAAAACGATATGATAAACTTGATTTAAATAGAAAATATGCTTTTACGAAATACTATAAAATTTTTGGAATCATTGGTCAAAATTTACTACTAAGCAATTTTTTGAAAAAATAGCTTCTGAGAAAAGTATTCCTATTGACACCCACTTTTTGTGTTCAACATGGAAGCTCACAGTAAGAATAGACACGACTTGAAATAGGTCGTGCTCGTGGATTTCTGCAGCAGAGTTAAGATCGTTTCACGGAATTTTCTACTGAGATTTACAAGCATTCGAAATGCTCTTTTTGTTATCAATACTTACCGACTGTATCTGGTTGCTGCGCAATCTGATCGGCTTGTCGTGTTCGACTTTTTTTCATAATAAATGTAACAATGTGCGGTGTAACAAATAGAAGTGTAATGGAAAGGCCACCATAAAGTCCAAGAAGAGAAGTAATAATATACAAAGATGATGCTCGTTGATTGATATCAAATACACAGTTTTTTGGTTGACATTGATCGAAATAAGATGTGTAATTTAATTCTTTTGTCCACGATTTGATAAATAATTGTCGAGTCAATACCTCTATGTTAGTGCTTTGACTGAAATTACTATCCTGTGACTCGTCGAGTACCGTAAAAGCGACCGTGGTTGATGAATTGATATAAGCAAAAATGTTGTTCCATGCTGTTTGATTATAAAAAATTTCAAGTGTTGACAAAAGAAGAGTTTCACTTGGCCAACATCCAGTATACCATCCAGTAATATATTCTCGAGCAGGTAGTTGTACTTCATCGAATATTCCACAACTAGTATCAAATGTTTCAATATCGTAGAAGCCAGCAGGCATATTACAACTAGCAAAATCCGTACACATACAATCTGAACCATTGAATTGACGAAAAATATTTATATTGACTCCAGGCCTTAAATAAATATAACACGACATGAGATGAATACGATCTTTTTTAAGCAAGTCTATTGTTACTATGTCTTACTGGGATCTAATCACACCTGGTATATCAGATCGCACAATAATTGTAAAAGCAGTTTCGATAGCCGGCATTAATTGATTTCCGAAAATGAGAGATCTTACCAATGTAAGATCCTGCCAAAATGTTGAAGCTGTAATTTTTTGAAATGCTAAAATACTCGCTTCCAATTCTGCTTCGAATAAATCTTTGCTTAATAATTGACCCGAGATAAGTTCTGTATTGTAAAATGTTTCAAGACCATTTTCAACTGCACTAATAGACAATTGACATAGCGCTTGAAGAATTTGAAATTGACTACTAGCTGTTGCACGAAAATCTGCAGCATACCGTGATGATGTTTGATTAGGATCAAAAAGAGTATTGATCCATTTCTCGGAGACGAATTCGCTTGAACATATTTGATGATAGGATGCCGAAAGTTGAACAATATCTTTATATAAAGAAGAAATTTTTGTGCAAAGACAGTTTATATTTTTATGTTGTTTGTATAAGTCAAGATAGATTGATAACGACGGATTTTCTATTTCAGTTTGATTTAAAGATAACTGTGATGTTGTACAACTAAGAAGAATTATAATGGCAAGCCCGAGAGCCAAAATATATAGGCGTGTTGACCAACGCTGAATATGCACTGTTGATTCGTTATTCGAATTCGTATCGAAAACATTATACTCCATACTCTTGTGTAGTAAACATCGAGCGAAATTAATCATCCCCATTAATATGCAACTAATATTTTAAGAAAAAAGGATGCTAACTATGAGACTATCTCTTGTGTAAATGAGCTAAATAAAAATTGATATTGTATAGCTTATTTAAGGAATTCTTCATAGCGTTTGTCTGCCGATTTTCCTCGACAATCCTTTCAGTTTAAATTATATTTTTGTTTTGATGAAAGATACCCACAAATTCTGTCAATCAAAATGTTTTTCAAGCCTTAGCAATGATGTCGAAACTTTTCAAGATCTATATTAACTTTCTTTAAAAAATAAAGAAGCAGGCGTACTTATGATAAAGACACTATATCTATCTTGATGACATAGAACATGATTTTGTTTTAATGAAAAGTAAACTCTAATATCTTGATACAAAAATAGTCGAGGCTGAGATAATTTTTTGATTGGAATCGTCTACTATTTTTCTCAAAAACCAAGAATTTTTGTTGAGTAGAAACAGCATACATTCATGATTGCATAAATAATGCAAGGGGGAAACGACAGCCTTTTGAACTTTTGGACTTGAAGTTACTTTGAGTTACTTCAAGTCCGTCGTTTCCCCCTTGAAATAATGACTAAGATAGAATTGATGACGAAGAGCAAACATAGAAGACTTACAATGATATCATTACTTATTCTCATTCTTATAAATGAACAGCTATCTTTTTTTTTCAAATTTAGAACTCCAAACGATCTCAATTGAAAGCTTCCAATATAGTCATAGAGGCCATTCGTGATGCGTTTAAACTCAGTTTATCTATCTACACTATATCACTAAAAATTATTCGAGCACATTTCTGTTTTTGGTTTATGCTCTTTTTAGTGCCACACTCGGAAGTGCTTACGAAAACAGAGAAACATCGAGGGGCGGGAGGGATAGGAAGTAATAAACAAACAAGGAAAAGAAAACAAAAAGGGAGAAACAAAGATAAAGATAAATGAAGTAAATGAAAGCGGTAACGAAATGAACAGAGAATACAAGTAGCGGGACTTGTAAAGGCTGAGGTAGAATGTTAAGGGGCTGTTAATAAACTACGATTTCGTGTTCCTTCTTTCCTATATTTCTAATTATCACTTTACTGTAAAAACAAGAGTAGAATAATAAACCCTTGTCCTTCCCACAAATCATGCTAAACCCTTGCAGGGTTGATGAAATGAAGGATATATGAAAAAAAGATGATATAAGAAAAAAACGGGTTTATTAATCTGAGATTTAAGGAGAAGGGGATATGATTTTATCCCCAAGGGTATTTTAATACGCGGTTTCAAGAAAAGGTTTATTACTTTCGTACTAAGGGTATTTTATTCTACGGTAAGGGATTTATTGTTCTACTTCGTTCAAAGGATTACACTTTTTCGACTGATATATATATATATATATCTCATGAAAATTTCTCACAGGGCATTTTAAACAGTTTAACATAATAAACATGTTAATCCAATCATTTTCTCATCATGCAGTCATTCATACGTCGATGCACTTTTCATTCCGTACCTGTTTCGTAAAACATAACGATATGGTATAGGGATGCACCAGTACCAGTATTTCTAGTTTGCCAGAGTCATCGGTGTCAACACGCATCAGTATTGGAGGTGCTAGTTAGTGGAACTCTCAATACTGGTGTGTGCTGACACCGATGATCCTGGAAAACTAGAAACACTGGTACCCATACAACCAGTACTACTGGTACTGGTGTATCTCTAGTATGATATAGAGGCGCTAATTTCGCTAATAAATTTTGAATCATTTCTAGCTAAACTTCAATCCGCACACTCTTTAAAACTCAAAATCAGACGGCTTTACGTGAGCAACTTCATACAAAAATTTTAAGTTAAATCAATTTGAAAGATATTATGGTGATTGCGGATGTATTCCAAACGCGCAGGGGTATTCAGAAAAAAGTTTGTTTTTACATCCATACAAGAGAACAAATTAAAGTAGGCATTTTACTTCAATATGTTTATATTCTACCTTTACTTGGTTGAAAATAAGCTCGAAATAGTGTAAGTAATAACATTTCAAAAATACTTTCAGGCTGTCTTTAAGCCCCCCCCCCCTCAAAATCGACTTGCCACTTTAGAGTATAGGCTTGTGCTAAAACGTTCACGAATGAATGGACCTAGTGAGAAACGCTTGTGGTAAAAGTTTCAGCCTTGTGTACCTTACTAAACTAATTAGATTTATGACTTGTTTTATAGCTTCCACGAGAATTACTATAACTTTATGACTATGAGAGCTATTGAGGTCGGGTCCGGTTTTAAATTAAAGCTAGCCTTCATACGCAAGTTTTCATCAGACAGAATTTTGAAATTCGCTTCTACTCATTTTTTATAAGTATTTTACTCGGTATGACTGCCAAAGTAGGTATAAAAAAACGCACTAAATCGGACTTTTCTCAGTCCAGGAATCCAATATCGAAAATCCGTCTGATAAAAAGTTAGCTATAATTGAAACCTTTAAAATAAAAATAAATATCAGGGAAAGCTAAAGACAAACGAAAGTTATAACAATTTTTCTACTTGAGACCCATGTTTTCAGATCAACATTTAGGAATTTTTAGAAAGATGTGTGGGAGTAAAGGAGATGAAAGAGTATTTCTTCAATAAGTCTGTCAAAACTTAACCTTTTTTCAAAAAATTATATATATTCTGAAAGAGGAGATCACGGGAAATCTTTCTATGATAAAAACTTGATTTCGATTTCTTCGAAAAATCGGCTTTTCTGAGGGGGGAGGGCTTAATTTAAGTCAATCGCTACAGCTAATGGAAAATACGGGTGGTTTACTTATATACTTATATCTTTTCTTTTACTTACTTCCATTAAAAATTCAAAATGAAAACAGCAATATCAAAATTTTCTCTTTGACTAATTCCTTCCTTTTATTTCGGTTCATTGATACAATGTACTCACAGTGAATACATCGTTTCCCATATGTCGTTATGAATCTTATATTTTTCTACCTTTAGCTCAATATCAAACAAATAATGCAAGTATAAAAATATTTTATAAATAGCTATTTCTTTTTTTTCTATTTAAATTCGCCGAGACTATACATGGGAAAGAGCTATGAAGATCTATTTCAGACATATGGGACCACCCAGTCAGACAAGCACCTTAAAAAAACGCGTTACAGCGAATACATAAGGAGTCTCCATGTTGGTATGATATCATCACTGTACATTAATGGCATTCTTATTTCTCTTTCTCAATGGCTCTTTCATCATGGATAACGGACGATAAAGAATGGAATAAGAAAAAGAGAGAGAATTACATTCTTTATTGCTTTTCTTGTTTGTAGATTCATTCACTTGTTTGGTTTTGAAAAGAAAGGAATAAGAATAATAAAGAAAACGGGAAAAGGACCTAACAACATATTTTGGCGCTTTCATGTTGTAAGACGGTAAAACATCTTAAAATTTCGTAAAAACGCCGTATTATGGTTTCATGCATTGTACATCTACATCTCCTAATAGAATTTCTTACTACCCACACCCTATACACCTCTCCAGACAAATATGTGCTATTTTTAACACATGTGCTTATAAAGATTTTAAAAATTGATGAACAATTTTATAAAAGTATGAGAAATATATGCTTTATAGATTTCTAGAAAAATAAGAAATATGTTAGAAAATTTTTGAAAAAATGGAACAAAACGTTTTTAAATCTTTTTAAAATTCTTTTTGAGCAAATATATTTCTAAAACAAATTTTCCCTAATTTATTTTAATATTTAAAAAAATAATTTTTATTTCCAAAGAAATAATTTTTTCATGAAAATAAAAAATGTAATAACAATTGTCCCGCATAACTTTATATCNAAATTTCGGTTGATTTAACTAACCCCCCCCCCCGGAAAAGAAGATCCCCCGGATTAAAAGGGCCTCCTTGATTAGAAGGCCCCCCTAAAAATTTTGAATGATCGTCTTAATATAAAATCCGATCTTTATAATTCGTCCATGTTCTCTATTACTTGATATGTCCATTACTCTTCACAGAAAAGAATTTTCTTTTCTGTATACGTTTATGTTCTCTCTCTCTTACACCATCTTTTCTCTCTGTTCAGAAAAGTGGGAGAAGATTCATTCTTTTCATTCATGAGTCATTATGAAGATTATTGATCGACGAGGCGAGCACCAATCGTCGTCAGATAGACATTTTATTCTTCATTTTTGTGTACTCAAAAAAAAAAGAGTACACTATAGAATCGGTCAGTGTGTCCGGCCGTCCGTTTATTCGATAACTCTTCACAATTACATTCGATTGAGCTGNCCCCCCCCCCCCGTAATATTTCTTATTTCATCTTGTTATCGTACGACTGACCGAATGGATAACATCTTGGACTATCAACCAATTAATCTCATGATTGAATCTAGGACAACGCAGTAAGTTCCAAAACCTTAATTTTAACCTGGTAGATAAATTATAAAAAATACATTGTGCCGCGCATTGTGAATACAAACGAAAAAGAATCATAGTGTACTCATTTGTTTTTGGATTCTTTTTTCTGAAAGGTTGTTCACGCATTTTTTTAAGGAGCTTGCCTGAATGGGAATTGTAATAAACCCTTTTTTTAGGTATGGGACAAAAGTAATAAACCCTTTGGAAGGGTATATTAATATACGCGTTCTTTTTTACAGTGTTTGCTCATTAAAATCATGCCAGTCTAGGGGAAGGGAGCGGTGTTTTAATTTTAAACGTTTAACCCGTTTCAACATAAATAGATGGCCAACACCATCTTTAGCTTGGTTATGGAAATTATCCCACAGGAATAAATCTTCAAGAAATAAGGAAGAACCTAAATCTGAAGAGCACATATTTTTTAATCTTTTCGCGATATAGAGTTTGACATAAGTATCAAGCGGTTCTTCTCGGGTCGGGTAAGGCTCAAAAGATCCTTAGCGCGAACAAATGGGGCACGATGGACTAAGCGTATTGTTACTCAGAAAGAAAAGGTGTCATACTCAACCTTTTAAGGTTCTAGATTTGGGTACCATTTTCAGAACTATTTAAGGTTCAAACAAAATCTGGTTTTAGCTGGAACCTTTTCCTATTTCTTCCAAAAATGGTTCTAGCGTAGTAAAATATAGTCCACCACACTCAATTAGTCTAGTACTCCAGACTAATGCTTTATCCAACCGTTAATTTCATATTTAATCCTTTATTCCTATTCTGAATCCCTAATTCTATCCTTAATCCTTATTTCTATGTGTTATATTTACCTAAGTTTATTGCGAGTAGAATACGAGCTAGCACTTTCTTCGCTATTCGCACGAAAGCGGCAATGCCGTTGGTTGTTGTTGAGACGATCCTAAACGGGAAAAAAGAGCAGTGACTTATATGGTAAGATTCAACTTACCATTAAATGAATTATTCGCATATACCTAAAATATTCGAAAAAACATTAATTCATTTTAGCATAAAAAACTTGCATTTGAATTGATTATTCATACATACCTAACTACAGAAAAACTTGAATTCGTTTTATCAGATTGGCATTACCTGTCTATTCGTACATGCGACATATCGAAAAAGATAAAAGAACAATCACACTCCAAAAGATACTACTAATTATTGAATTAATCTTGGAGACACAACTACCCAGGTCTATCATTCAAGTATCGCATCCGTGGCATCGAAAAAATGATAACGGATTCGGATTCCTCGATCTGAATAACCTATTTGAGATTTATATTACTTAAATCACGTTCCGAAAATATAGTATCTTGCTTCAAGCCAGAACCATCTTTGGAAAAATAGTTCAGCATTAAAAAAAATTGGTGCAGGACCGAACCTTTTCAAACATCCGGAACTATTGAGAATCTGAGATGGTTCTTTAAATTAGCTAGAACCCTTGCTGGTCTATTAATAAGCGAGTGAAATCTTAAAAGGTTCAGTATCTTGGCTAGAACCATAAATGGTTCCATATGGGACCTTTTTTTTCAGAAAGGGAAGAGGAAATCAGGAATGGCAACCGAACCCACGATTCTGCATCCTGAAACAAATATGAAATATTTACGAAGATCACTAGAGATCTTTATTGTGACTACCTTAGTTAGAAGGTATTTCTGTGAGTAGGAGATCCAAATCGATAGAAAATCATATTCTAAGATATTTCCACAAAGAAATGCTGCAATTCGAGCTTGATTTAAGCTCGAAATCATGATTTTATTACGTAATAAAGATCTTTGAAGGTGATTTGTTCTATTTACCTTAATTCGATGATATTCTACTGATGAAGAGTACGACACTGATTGTAAATGTTGCTCAAGGAAGATCTATAACAAATCCAAAGTTCTATGTCGATTCTTGTTTTCAATTATCATCGATTAATATTAGAAATGGGGTTGTCATGATTTTGAGAAAGTTTTGGTATCAAAAAAAGTATGGGAAGTGTTACCTGTGAATTACCTGAACAGGTGTGTTGCGCCTATGGGATTGGAACTTGCAATGCTCACTCCTGTGGATAGATTGGTGATCTTCAGGATGTTCCTGTATCGCTAGGCCAGTTTGAAGAGTCTCAGGCAATCTTGAAGGCACTTTACTAGTAGCTGCATGGACGAGTGAATGAACTTCTAAGTGTCGAACACGCATATATATAGGTGAAGGTCAGCTGCTATGCAGTCTGAAAACTGTTTTAGTACTTCAGTACTTTGTTTTTGAGCGCTTCTTTTTTGACATATCTAACTCGGTTGGGTTCGGAGAGAATAGTCTTTCTGCTCCAGTGCCTACCTGTCATCTTCCGTTTATATCTGTGACAGGTTTGCTTGAAGGCCTTCAAAATGATAAGATTTGAGTATTTTGTCGGTTTTTAGACTTTGCAGAGATGGACATTTAATTTATTGCTTTTTATGGTGTCGGTTTATTTTGTATCAGATATTTTTGAACTCTTGACAATTAAATTAATTTAAATCAGCTCAGTAGTGGTTTCGTTTAGCTAGTTATCGTGTATTGTCACGAGAGATTATCTGAGCTAAATAATATCTTCCAATTTGAAGACACAATGCAATAGTCTATCGTGGTCTCTACTCAACTATTGCTCTCAGCAATGGGCTGTGAGTTGTGCAATCTCTTACGCGGTATTTTGTATCCAGTCTGCTTGTTTTCACACTGCTGTTAAATTCGTACTCTTCAAAACTGTTTTAAGAATGGCTATCATGTCCAATTTAGTCCAATGTTTTGAAGAGAGTCGAAATCTTTATCAATGCTTGTATGGAATTGTAGCTTTTTCTTAATATTCCATACATTTGAAGATTGAATGTACAATTGTATCCTAGAGATTCTTTTGAGAGAGCGATCCAATTTGTCGCTTGTAAGGTATTAAAGTCATGTAGTTATAAGGAATACGTTTTCGAATAGATCCTATCGTTTCCGGTTGCGGGATTAAACCGTCTAAAAGAAAATAAAAAACGGTCGGATCTGGGAGTTGCAGCCGAGTCGGAAACGGAAGGAATATAGATTGGATCCTGCCGTAAGAAGGCATCGGAACCCTTCTCAGGAAGGTTCTATGGAGCTTCGACAAAAATAATTTCGCCATCTGAATTTCGACAAGGTTGGCAAATTTCGACAATTGATAAAATTTTTAGGGAATTACGACAACCTTTTTTCTTTGCTGGGGATTTTCTTGCCCATTTTCCATCAGAATTTCGACAGCTTTTTGATTTATATTTTTGTTTTATTGTCGACTTTCCACCGGCAATACGACAATCTCTTTCTCAACTACATTCAGAATATATGTTAGAATGTGGCTTTCTTTGTTTCACAAACGATGAACAAATAATGACTTAGAAAAAGCTGGATGTCCTATAGCAAACTATCTGTAGTTTTATTTTCTTAAATTAGCATCAATAATATCCAAAAGAAGACAGTAGTGTCAAACTTGAAACTTGAATTCAGCTGAAACTTCAAGTTTCAACTTTCAACTTTCAACTTTCAAGTTTCAGGTTTGACGTTATTGCTCTAACACTACTGCTTCCCCGGCACCCACATTAAGGGTACATATGTGTGTGTAGACAAGCGTATCTCCCTTCCGCGGCATCCACACCCTTGAAAGTTGAAAGTTGAAACTTGAAACTTGAAACTTGAAATTTGAAACTTGAAACTTAAAGTTTCAGTTGAATTCAAGTTTCAAGTTCGACATGTATGATTTTTGCCCTATATTTTCCTATATTTTATCGAAAAAAATAGAAATTTTCCGAAAATCTCTTAATTTTGCTATTGTCTTTAGACGAAAAAAACTTTTAATGTGTATAATCATGTGTTTTGGACAAATCCTTGTATTATGGTGACATTTGTTCTAAACAGTATTTTTCCTTTCGCCTATTTAGTGGGCTGACTGAAAAATAGTTCAATATTAAGATTAAGCATAAAATACAAAATAGTTCAAAAGAAAAAAAACATTCACAAAGTGATCATGTACTAGTTTCGGATTTTTAGTGAAGTGTTAGTTAGATATAAAAGCTGTATATATGTATACCGCTGGAAAAAAAAGCTTCATTCTGTATTTTGCGGATATTGTTACCAAAAGAAAATATTTTCTAAAAAGTAACGACATATTCTGAAAACCTGTAAAATATTACACCATCCTATGTACATGCATTTTCATTTACATTTATTTATTACCAGAAAAAATTGAGTTATGATAAAATACAAAATAAATTTGTGGAAAATAATAAGCGATGAATGCTGATTATTAGAACAATAAAATTAGGTCGAAATTTTTTGCAACTCGTGTCCGTAATCTGAAACGTCTATTTTTATTATGAGGAATAGTATTTATCTTTTTCATGCATTTGGTTTTTCAAAGCTCATGATCTACTTTATTGTTATTTATCGATTTGTGAAAAACTTTTATAATGATCCTCGAATTAGCGACTTATTTCAGTAGAAAAAAAATACAGAAGGATCTTTGTTACGGTTGAACTGTTTATAACAGCTTCATTAAAACGATTTTCAAACAGAGCAGTTAAAAAACACCAAAACAATTGAACAGAAACGGTGTATAAAACGTCCTCTCTTTTTGTCATTTTTTTATCGAAAATCTTATATTTTTGACAACCTTGATCCTCTAAGGATTCCTGTATTTTAAAAAAAGTGAAATTGGAGGTCAGATTTATCACTATAGCGAAATATCAGCATGGTATTACTTGTACCTTATCTTGATGAATTTACATCGACATTACCACAGAAATTATGACGAAAAAGAGAACGAAAAAAAATATTATTAATTACATTCATTGGTTTTCATCTAGACGACAGATTGAAAAGTAAATTATAGTTATTATCTATAAGCATTCATTGAGTTGAATCATAATTTAATAGTTCAAAAAATTGCATCATCACATATTTTATTACTAAACTAAACTCGTCAAAAGGATCCAATCAAAAATAAAATAACAAGCCATTGTATACCTTTTTATTCACTTATCAATACAGTGTCTCATAAAAACTTAAAATTCTACTATTTATCCTTCAAATTTTCGATTACAATCAAACATAGACAAATTAAATCAATCCTAATCAATTTTTGTTATGAAGGAGTAAACAGTTAGAGAATTGGTTTTTTTAAATAACAAATTATTAATATTATCATTCGGATATGAGAACACAACAGTAATAGTTAATACATAAATATCTAACATAACGTTTCTGAATAGTTTTTTCTGGATGATGCTTCTTGTGAATAAATATCAAAATAATTCGGATTACTCCATTGTGGAGTTTGATGAAAATATTGTGCTACTTCAAGATCGCACGGATCATCAGATGGCGGTATTAGTTCCGATAAATTACGTGATGGACGTTGATAAAATTTAAACGGTTTAAATGCACTATTTTTCGTACAAATAAAATCACTTAAAGGTGCATATGACGATCGACTAAAGTCATAATTCTTATGTAAATATTTATATGGATAATAGCTTTGAGAAAACGTTGGTTTTGTTGAATAATTTTGATGGCAAAATGGCCTATTATTATTTTCTAAACAACCTGAATTGAAATTTTGATAATTGATCATCGTAGTGAGACGTTGGTGTGAATGAGAATCGATTTGACTATTACTTAATTTTGAATACGATAATAGACGATGTGATGATGGTTGATAAGACAAACACTGATGAATTGATGCATAATTTCTCGATGAGATTTTCATGTGATTGTCATGCAACGGATAAACATGTATAGAATGAAGTTTAGACTAGAAGAAAAATAACTTTCTCGAATCTTATTGATGAACATGAAAAAATAGTTTTACCGGTTCAATAGGAGAATTTTGTCTGAATGTTGTTGTTGAAGATTTTGGTAATTTTATATGATTATTATTATCTGCTAGGTGACTTAACGGTGTAGTTGATGTTGCTTTGCTACATAGTTTAATAGGAAATTGAAGTTGTTTTTTTATTACTAATTTAGATTTTGCTCTTTCATATTGTTTATGAAGATAACTTGATAGTCGTGTGATATTTTTACTTTTGAATGATTTTTTATCATCGATATTTTTGTTACTTTGAACAAAATTTGATTCTATGTTCAATGTAGAAAGATTTTCTTTGACAGATTGAGGGGATTCAGTTGCTAATGATAAATCACTATGATAACCACTTGAATTTGTTGTTTGTGGGGAAAAATGACGATTATCAGCCATTGGAAGAATACTATTCGAATGCATTAATAAACACGAATCGAAATAACTTTTATTATCTGAAAGTTTCTTGTTATAAAAATGATCAGCAAGAATTGTTCAAACTAAAATAGAAATATAGAAATTTTAGTTTTATATTCGCACAAATAACATTCTCGTTCTGTTGCATCGACTTTCTTTTTGATGTGCACAAAGCAAGCGCAGAATGCTTAAAGCAACAAATAATCTGCTGTCATAAAGAGACAAAAAAGAATCTGACATGTATACATGTGTGTAGGCTGTACTTGACCAAAAAAAGAATTCGATGGAAGCTGCATAGATTAAGGAGAATAATTATTTTGATAAGTGACCTCCATCTATAAGTAGACAACTTCTCTTAAAAGCAACGTCTAAGTTCTATGCAATGAAAAACGAACAAGCACGACTAGTGTTATGTTATAAATACATACAATTAATGACACAAGTGTATTGAGCGATAATCGTAGGGTGGCGAGTGCTAGTCATACCAGCGAGATGGGAGGCACTGATGATGTAATAGACTATTCGACGTATTAAACAAAATGAAGCTACTGCTGACTACATAATACAAATCTACGACTTTTTAACACAAAACTATTATGAATGTGCATCGTAAAAGAAAACAGAACAATTTATTTGATTTTACACATACGCATATTTTTTGTCAGGAATTCGCTAAGTGAATATGTAGAGATTCATTAGAATCTTTCCAATCAGATAGACGAGAAAATAGAGAAGCCGCAAGGATGAACAAAAAAAGAAACGCATGTACGATTAATAATTCATTCAATTCTGTTTTTTCTCTTATTGATCGTTGTCAGTGTCAAACAAACGGCACACTCATAAAAAGAAAAGAGCTACAGTCTCTCTGTATATAACATGCACTGCAAGGGGAGAAAAAGTGTAGTAATTCATTATTTCCATACGATAGATGTTTGTAATGATGACAATGTACTAAAGAATTACTCTTTTTTTATAACGAGAATCCACGTGAGATTCAACTTTAATATTATTTTGTGCTTTGCAAGGAAAATTTTTTTGAAAAACTTCAATCTATTACTCATGTCATAGGAAAAGTTACTCTTGTTTTTTCAAGCAAAAAGAATGTTACTGTTAAACATCATCAGTATCATTGACATTGCTTGTTATATGCATTAATGAGAAAAGAATGATGAACGTGTACAAGATCAAAATCTTTATCATAAAAAATACATTTACATATTTTCTCATATAGATAGTGACAAAGAAGAAAACTTTTTTCTTATCAGTGAACAGTACATTTGTTTCTCAAGGGAATAACAATGAAACAGTTGTAGGAATAGAGAGATGCCGCCTAGTGATGAACTCTCGAAAGATTATTCATTGATAGAATGATTTATACTTACATTATGATGTGCAATACAGAGAATAATACTAATATGGATCTAAAATAATGGAAAGAAAAATTAGAGTATTGTTCAATTGTAAGTTTTAATATTGTGTAAATTAACATGCTGATATTATTGTTTCAACAGATGTATATTATATGACTAATGTAGAAAAACAATTGCCTTACGTCAGAGATAGGCGGTTTATTCAAGTGCAAAAAAAGCTGAGCGGATGCGAATTAAACTCAATTACCTTGTGCCATTGAATTATCCCTCTAGCCCTATTTTTACTAATATGCAAACCGCCAATATGTGTTCTTGAACTTTAACTGTATACATATATATAAGAAAGAATTGTCAACAGTAGGATTATTACTCTGTAACAGGAGCAAAAGGTTTCTTTCTCTCTGTCGAACATTCAGTATTATTCTTGATGAGAACGAGCAATCTGATGGAGACTAGCCAACAGATGTACATCTTATACCATCTATCATGACACACACACACACACGTTTGTTCAGCATAGCAGACGGTACGTTTTACTTGCATCTTTGCTCACGTCCTCATGATCAAAAAGAAACTAATAATAATAATAATAATAATAATAATATGTATGCAACATGATTGCTGTTTACAAACTTACCAGGGTTCTTTTTTCGTTCTTTTCTTCTCACTCTCCCATTTGCTGATCACCAATTAACAGCAAAAAGAATACTTCCTCAGTATGCATACATACATACGTAGGACAATAGTACGAAAATCCTTGAAAACAAAATTTTTTTTCTCTCTTCTACACAATACAAAGGCACAATAAGTATGTCATTCTTTTGTTTCTACTAAGGGTTGCCTTCTTTATATAATGCAAAACGATTACTTAGATTGAAACCACATTGTCTTGTTTCAAGTATGCAATCATGACATATATAATATTGAGAACGTTGAACACGACTATTGTTTACTTTTTGTTTGATGGAAAGCTAAATTTGTAATTCATATTAATCTTCAAGGACTTAGGGTTCAATGAAAATTCAAATATGTTGGGAAAAACGAGGAAAAAGTATATTTACAAAAATCTAAGAATGTGCTCGTGCAGGTGCATAGTATGTTGTGGGTATTGTTCAAGCAAGCGTAAATAGTAGTAGTACAAATACTGTCTAAGCAAACGTAATATTACATGCAATAAGCAAAGAAAAAAAGAAGGAAAAATAAACTATGAAGAATCGCTTGAATGAATTTACGGCAGGGTATGCATGTTACACTAATATGTGATAACAAGAGGATGATAACGTGCTACAATGATATGATAAAAAAAAGAAGCCAAAGACATGCGCAATGTAAACGATGAATGAATCAAGGAAGACCTTGTTGTGTTAATGTGTCTGTATATGCTTTTTTCCAAACGGTTTACGCATGACAAATCATTTCTCATGATCATCAATGATAAAGTTATAAGTCCGACAAATTATAATTAAATTCTTTTTTTACCAATGCAAGTAACGGTAGCTGAGAAGAAAAAAAGAAGATTTACCGATTATGTCTATGATACCTTGATTATGATATGGTTTAGTCGTTTCGAGGTGAAACGACAATTGTCATTCGCTTCGCCAATGGTTGAAAAAGATGATTGAATAAACCTTGCCAACAAGGTTTAACACGTAAAACGTAGATATTAACGATACAAACAATAAAAAAAGAAAAGAAACTAGCTGTTAGATTTACCTATGTTAGTCACAGTGAAAAGGGTGCGAACTATGTACATTTCATTTCACCTTTGTTTCCCCCATAGGCAACATAATCTCAACTTGCTTTTTTTTTCTTTCTTTCAAAGTTAAAACGACACATTTAAGCTGATTGAATGTGAAACATTAATCAATAGGTATTTGTTCGTCATGATCATAAGAGCTATGCACGGAAAAGATTGTACTGCGTGTTTGATCATGAAACAAAACGCCCTCAATTGATAATAGTAATGGTAAAAATGACTTCTCCTTGAAAATTATTTGAATCGACATGCACGAAATATCGATACTCTTGACTAATGCTAAAGTTATAGATTCCTCTATTACTATTTAATAACTCCGGTTGTCGGTCAATAGTTTTTTTAATGATGTACTCCAATTTTGAATTGATCGTTACTCAGTATGTGAACGGAAAAAAATTCTTTCTATTGTTACTATTATAATACGATTCTAAGTAAAATGTTCACTGATATTCATGTAATAGGAAAAATAAATTCAACTGTACAAGCTCATTTAAAACTACAAAAAATGACTCACTTTGCGTTCATATGGAGGAATATCGAATACATCGATCAAATACGAGAAACTTCTGTAATATGAATGCAATTTTGTCTAAGATAAATTGTGACATTCTGTTATGAGTATATATCGAATAAATGGCAAACGTTTTGAGTTAAAGACATATTACACCATTCTATCGATGAGGAATAAATTGATATGACAACAAGCGGAAACGGAAAATGTGTTTCCTGTCGAGATGCTTTCTATTCAACGTATTGCACAACAGTTTATTCTTTTCTATATTGAAACAAGACCAATCGATGATTCAGACATAAATAATCATTAGGTATATTTCATTAGATCATTTCGAAAACGACTTGATTGATTTCATGTCGGATGTACTTGAGAAAAAAAAACTCGATCGACTGATTTGAAACGTTCTTTCGAATATTCTTCATATAATCAATCAAACTTGATTATTTTAGGTATACAATTAGAGATTAACATTGGCTAAAAATTCGAGAAGCTGAGTATGTCAAGATATATCTTATTGTCTTTTTCTTCTAACAGTAAGCTCCCACGTAACAATAGACACGAATGTCAGTGTAAACTAAGACGCGGAGTCCTTCGACTAATAAATTGCTTCTAAGGCTAGAGCATTTGCATTATATAGACTCGAAATAAGCTATTGACTTATTGCTACGGAGACCATGTACTCTTATCATGGCAAGACATGAAACATTCTTTCTGATAGAAATGATGTCGCTGCATATATCTAGATAATATTTTAATTTATTAATCAATAATATAATAGAATTTCGAGTTATCTCGCTACATAACTACTGTTCTAAATATTTGACACATGTCGGTTTACTGATTGGCACCGATGATCCTGTTGCTGTTAATTTTCCTGTTGTTTGATCGACTGTAAAAAGAACTATATTATTCGAATCTTGATTAGCAACAATTAAAAATTTTCCACTTGGCGAAATATTGAAATTTCGGGGCGTAAGACCTTGAACATTGATATGTTGAATAAGCGTTAGATAGCCAGTAGTAGAATCAACGGTAAAAACAGCAACGGAATTATGACCACGATTGGAGGCATAGAGAAAATTTTCTGTTTTTGGATGAAAAATTATTTCAGCAGCTGTATTGGAGCCTGTAAAATTTTGTGGCAATGTTGAAATAATTTGAACGGGTTGCATTATTGGAAAATAGGTAAAAACTGTGATTGTTGATTTAAGTTCATTGATAAGATAGACAAAATTTTGATTGGAATTAAATATAAGATGTCGTGGTCCATCGCCAAGTCTTGCTGCTTTTGTCACTGTTTTTCGTAATAATGTACCATTATTTGAAAAAAACTTATACTGATAGATTTGATCGGAACCTAGATCAGCACTCAATGCGAATTGTTCTGTTCTATCAAGTAAAATACAATGCGCATGAGCAGATGTTTGTCGATCGGGATCAATCGATGAACCGGTTTGTTGATCAAATCCTGTGTATTGACCAACACCACCGCTAGTCTGATCAATTGGTAAAACAGCCACAGTACCATTATTATAATTAGCAACAAATACATGTGTTCCAGCTTTATTTGTTGACAAATAACATGGACCACTGCCAGCAGATGTCTGTTGATTTATTGGTATTAAACGTCCTGGTACAGTGGAATCAATTTGAAAAGCAACAACTGCGCCGTTATCTTGTTCACTAACAGCATAGAGATATTTGTGTGACGGATGAACAAGCACATACGATGGATTGGAAGTCACAGCAGATAAACGTAATAGTGTAAGAGTTGGTTTAGTTTCATCCAATTCTAAAGCATAGACACCTTTACTATCCGTTGGCCCATCTCCTGTGTATGCGCCGATATAAACAATAGTTGATGAAACTTGTGCAGACCAAATATTTAAAGAAACTATTTGAAAAACAAAAAATATTTTTAGGATGAATATTAAAATAGCTTACTTGTAAATATAAAAATCCAATCCCACGACAGCATGATGAAGAGAAAAAAAAAGACAAGTGAACGAAAACGGATTAGTTCGAATATATTAGTCCTAATACCAGATGATGTAAATACAGCTGACAAATATTCACAATACATCTGATTATATATGTGATATTGTAGTGTAGTGACATTTTGTGTTTTTCTTTTCTTTGTCTCTGTTGTTTCGTATTGTTGTGTTCGTTCTTGTTAGCACGTTATGCTATACAATACGTATATTGTTTTCTCTTTCTTTTGTCGTTCTTTGATATTTTTCGATTTCATTTTTTTTTCTATATTGATCACCAAGATCAAAACAGCATTGTGTTTGGCCTTGATGATTTTCTATAATTGCGTAGTAGTATTTTCTATTACGCAATATTAGATAGACAAAAATACATTAAAAAGGACGTACCGAGTGGGATACGTGACAGATATGTGCACCAAGTCAATAGAGAAACACACAAATGTATATTCTGTATTTTGCTTACGATAGTGAAATACATTTGAGACTAATACCGCAGTATGAATAAGAACAATTAAATCGTCGATTACAAAATATCATAATTGAGTTTTGTAGTTTCTTAAGATAGATATCCACGTAATATTGGAATTATATTCAATAAATAAATCGAAATTCATTGTATGATAGTGTGCTCCAGTATACTTTGAAATACGTTGTTTATGTGAAATATTTATTTTCCGTGTATTTGATCTTATTCCCTATTGAATAAGTTATTGATTGTACTAAGATTGATTGATTAAGGTTCTTTAATACTATATTTTTCAATTGTATTCTTAAATAAAAATTCTGATAAAATTAGCGATTAGAAACAAGTAGTTTTGCATTAAGTAAAGCTTACAGTCAGTTTAATTTTATATCTGAACCTTAATTAGAGAATGAATCGAACAACACATCTATTTTTATTTTTCTGTTCTTGACAGTAAAATTAGGAACAGTTTTACTTATCTGTAATGTAGATAAGGAAACTCGGAGACAGAAAATAATCTTCGAGAACAGATCAACGATAGATTTAGATAAAAATAGATTCTATAAGTAAGGCACTGAAAGCGATCTTTGCTCAATGGTTATTATAAATATTTTTTTCAACGGTAAAAATAATTATAATGATAAAGTAAATCGAAGTGATCTATTTTAAGGTCGTGAAAACAAGGCTTTTATTGCTACTTTCGTTTACAAATATATTTTAAACGATGTAATAATATTCGTTTAGTTTGTAATCGACTTTCAGTTTTTCGTACATATTGTCGTGTGTTTGCAATCGAATTTTTCAATGTTTGTATATCATTTTTCAGACGATCACGTTCGGCACTTAAATTATTAATTTTCTTTTTTCCATAAGCAACAATACAAGCCGAAACATCAATATACAAGATATCTTTTAGCCAACATCGTTTTCGACATGTCGGACAAACTTACAATAACAACAAAAATAAATTATGCTATACAACAAGACAAAAACAAATACCTTTGTTTGTCGTAAACCATTGGTGAATGCATAATGCACAAAACATATGACCACATTTTAAAGCTACAAGTTGTTGTTGATCGACACCAAATGTTTCATAACAGATCAGACACGAAAATAAATCTTTTGGTATATGAGTAGTTGTTTTCGTTGATGAACAAATACTTGCTGCTGCTGCTGCTGTTGTTGTTGTATTTTCGTCAGTGTTCGTTATTGCTAATGAAATTTCGTTATCATCCATATACAAAAGAATAGATTCTATTTTTAGTTGTTATTTCTTTGCCGCGTAGTCAAGCGAAGAAAAAAAATAGGATAATAAATGTCTATAGTTACAACAGAAACTTCGTTATGTCAACTGTAGATATAAATCTGATTGAATCTGAAAACGTTAGAAATTTTGTTGTTTTTTTTCGAAGCGGGAAAAAACAAATTTATGAAATAAAGACGGAGATGAGACGTGCCGAATTTTTTTTCACAAAATGAACAAATGTCAATGATTCAATAAAATAGCTTTCGGTTAGAAACAGAACAGATTAGATAATTGACCGAAAGAAAACAGCATTCAAGGTTCGTAGGGTTGATTTGATCTCTTACAATTGAATAGAAACGTCAATTTCTCTTCGAAAATATCTTTGAAATAAAATAAAATTGACTTTAATGCACTCAGAAATCGTCGTATAAAAATCAAGAAATACACCAGGAGAATGTTACAGTGAATAACTCGATTGATTTTGACATGTTGTGTCTGCTTTCTATAGTAGAAATCGATAATACAAACAAATGTTTATCGGAATATGATATTTTTCTATTAGACTCCAATGGTTAATTGTACGTGTAAAATCAATTCACGATTGGCTATAATGTGTTCATTACTGATACATATATACATATATATATATATATCATCGTATGATGAAACAACTGCTTGAAACCAAGGATACTACTATGGTCCTTATACAGGGCCATACACAAGGAAAATATTGACATACTTTCAATATCATTAGTAACCTTCTCTTTTTTTTAAATGGTACTGCTGGTTTCATTATGTAATCTAATCGTTATTGAAAGTCTATTTTATTTATTGCTGTCTTTGTAGACTTATGCTTACTGTCAATGCTTCTTCTAAATCTATATTTTGATTGTTAATCAAACAATCAGTGTCTACTTATGATCCTGTAAACATCGATGCAATCTCTATCTGCATGATCTATACTAGAATGTCAGTAAACGCATAAACAATATATGTAGACTATGTTCTAAGAAAAAATGTACACACTATTAGATAGTTAAAGCGCAACATTTTTGTAACTGGCTTCCATTATTAACGAGACATGTAGCTGAAAATTATTGAATGACAATTTTACGTGAACGAAGACCTAGGAACGAATACATAGAATAAAATACATTGAATTAATGTTCAAACAATGTTCTTTTCCTCTTCAATCTTTTTGTCGGCGCTTTTTCTTTTTTCTTTTAGTTTCTTTCATCATTACTCATCTCTATACTTAAATGTAGTGATTATCATTGTTGATAGTAGAACAAAATGAGCTAGTTTTTTTCTTAGTACTTGTTACTCTATTTTTGAGTATGTTCGCATGCGACGTAGGAAATTAAGTTAGCATGCCAAACAAACATAACAAAATTTTATCTGTCGCTGACGTATGAATGTCTGCCTTTTCATTTGCGTACATGTCAAAATTTTGAGTTGCGCTAGTCGGTAGTTTTGTTTTTTTGAATCTAGCAACGATTGCACTCAGTGGTGTTTTACTTTTCTTGTTGAACCGTTTGTTTGTCTATTTATTTTCTCGGCTCTTTTGTTCTAATTGATCTGAGTTTGATTATCATTATCATATATATCGACGTAAATCGACCAGTATGATGAATGACTAAGAAACAACGATGGTCATTGAACTCGTTTTTTCTTTAGCTTCAGGATATAGCAACTCTCTTGTGATGTACACATTCCATTCTTCGTTGTAATGTGTCTCATGACTCCTGTCATGTTTGTTTGAAGCTTTTTTCTTCTCTCTTTCTTTTTCTTTCGCTCTTTATATTGATCTGTTGAGTTGTATAACAACTTTACTGCTGTACTAGATGATATAGATCTGCTCCTATAGCTATTATATGCAGAAATTTAATATCAACATTTCTGTATGAGTTGAATTGTGTATGTATTGAATGATTATTCTGTTCTACGTTGATATTAAATCGTTTTGTCTTTTAGAATGATATGACTGGTAATAATTTAACATTATTACATGATGTCGAGTATGACTCGACTTATGATCAAACTGAAACTTTAAGTTCATTAGTTTTCTTCACAATTGTTTATATCCTTGTACTTATATCTGGTCTTATTGGCAATTTTATTGTTCTTTTTGTTATATTTAAAAACAATGATCTAAAACATTTTACAAATTATTTTTTTGCTAATCTAAGTGCAGCTGATGTACTTGTACTTTTATTCTGTATTCCAACTGCTATACACGATGTATGGGCAAAAGATCAATGGTATATGGGCAAGTTTTTTTGTTTAATTAATCAATATATTGAAAGTTGTGCAACAAGCGTCTCGTCGTTGACAATAATGGCCATTAGCTTCGAGCGTTTTATTGCAATATGTGAACCATTTAAAGTAAATCTATGGTTAATAAATAATTTGAACTTTAGAAAAACTCTTGAGACTTTTAGGTTCATGATATATTCAATGAAACACTGACATTAACGACAATACTTTCAATATGGTCAATTGGTCTCATTCTTTCACTGCCATTTTTAATATTTTCTGTATATGATCCATTATTCAATCCAACCGATTCATTAAATAATACATCGAATCTTTTAACTGTTTGTCATTTAGATGCTAATTCAAGTATAGCACGCGGTTGTATAACATGGTTTATTGTTATACTTATTTTTATACCATTTTTTGTCTTAATATATATTTATACGCGTATTGTCAGAGAATTAGCACGTCATCGTGCTGTTCGATCAATGAAAATTACAAAAAATCAACAGCAACCCTATGACGATGAAATAAATAGTTTAAGTGGTGGTCTAGGCTTGAATAATGAACAGCAACAATCACATTCATTTCTTGCGTCGAAACAATTCGAACAGAAACGACTGAATACAGTTATTATTTGTGTTGTAACTGTAGCATTTTTTGCTTGTCAATTTCCTGTACGGATCATACAATTGATTGATATGTATCTGCGTGTACGAAATGAAGAAACCATGCCACATTTAGTATGGATATGGATATGGAAATTATCAAAAATACTTTTTTTTCTTAATTTTACAGCAAATCCGGTAATAGGAAAATAAGTTTCTGTTTATTGTGTTAATCTTAATCTTATTTAGATAATATATAATATTTTATCAACAAAATTTCGTCGTTCATGTCGACGATTATTACAAATTCATCATTCATTAAGTTTTGGCGCGGATTCATCGCGTAGAACAAGTGTAACATCTTATCTTTATTCGAGTATATACAAACATCGTCGTAATCAAAGTAATTCGCTTACTTATCAACAACAATGTTCTTATAATACGAACCAAAAATTCAATGGAACACGTCCAAGTCTTGACAATGAAAATCGAAATCTAGTTAGTGTTTTTAATAATGATGAAATTTTTACTCCAACATTTCAAGTATTAAACGAAGACGAAAATGAAAATATTGGCTAATAATGTTTTCCTCGAACTTTTCCTATTGATATCTTTATTGTATTTTCGTTCTTTTTCTTTTTGCTTTCAAAAACGAATGAAAATTATATTCACTGCATTTTGTTGCATACGATTCAATAGTATTTTAATTGCCATTGAGAACAAATTGATAATGTGATCTACATTTATATTTTAGTCTTGAAATGAAATGAAATGAAATGAAAAAAAAACAGAAAACATTTTCTCCTTGATGCCTATATGGCTTTCAAGCGTAATACTTAAATATTTCTTCGTTTTATGAAGATACGAAAAATGTTTGTGTATAGTCTTCAGAAATAACCACCATTCAGCTCTAACGAACATCGAACTAAGCAATAATTCAAGCTCAAAATGAAACATAAGAGTTTTTTCTCAAAGTTCAAGATTGAATTTTTGCTTCTGTTCTTGAATAAGACAATTGTACTGAATTAAAGGATACCGCGCACGTTCAGCATCTCCGAGCTGATCAGCTAAACGATGAAGATTAGGCGGATAACTAGAAAAATTCACTTAACTATTTTATAAATAGTAGGCATGGCTCGATTTCTTCTATATTCTCTGAAGGATATCGACAAAATGTGCACAGTTATTTCGATATTTTACTCAGCTGCTTTCAATAATAAATCCTATAAATCATGCATACAAAAAACATAAACAAATGATTTCTAATGATATTCAGCCATTAATCGATCGATTAAATAATTTAACCTAACAAAATTTACAGATCGATGGATTATATCAATGGCAACAAACAAGTCATCGCATCATCGATGATTATTACGAAAAAAAGTGTCGTGAAATTGAGGAAAAACTAGAAGAATATAAAGAAGACTGTCAAGAAAAACTTCAAAAAATTAAAGTTCAAATCGAGCCAGGTGTTTCAAATGAATTAAATATTATGACCCATGAGCAAAGAAATGTTTTTGAAATCAAATTAAATGAATTTGAAAAGGTTATCAAAGAAAATATGCCATCCTCTCCACATTGATCAAACATTGGTTTCATTCACCGATAAAACGCCCGTTTCTTTATTAATTCATCGTAAAATATCTAAACGTACGTGTCCGATTAAATTTGATGCATCTCCGATGACGACCGATGGAAAATATATCTTCTTACAGGATGGAACACATTCATTAGGTCTGTATCAATATGACACTATTATTACATCGTCAAACCCATTGGCCATCAACAGATCTATCTACTATTCTTGATCTTCATTGGTCGAATCATCGTGAACAATTTGTAATTTTAACTCGTGAAGATCTTTACATTCTTGTTAAAAATGTTATTCTAAACGATGTTTTACATAAGAAATCTAAAAATTTTCGAACTCTGACAAGTGATGATGCTCAGAATGCATTATTTATAGCTACTACAAACACAATTGAAGAATATTTACTTTCGATATTGAATTTTTCTAAACGACGTAATCTCGATAGAGAAAATATTTATTCGCTAAGATTCAATTCAAAGGCGAATCAATTTGGCTTGATAATTGGAAAATTTCATGAACATAAATGGTATTTCGAAGTAATAAATCGTTTGATGATACGTCTGTAGTCAGTTGCAACACTGATTGAATATGGTTCATATTTAGTATCAGTTTTGTTTAATTATAATCAATGGGTTATTGTGAATAATCATGGTGAAATTCTTTTGTGGAACTCACATATATTTTCGAAGAGAATAGTGAATGTAAGTTGAATTGCTAGGTTTTTGGGGCTCCCCTATACCCCACCCCAAGGGGGAAAAAGCGGATCCTGTTGCTCCTAATAAAGGGTATCAGATTGCACAATAGATTGACTGGAGTGTACGGAAATCTATTAGAAGCTACTTCAATCTACTAAATACGTCGGAGTCTACTACAATGTGCCAAAAACTGATTCGCTTTAAAGCAATCTTCAAACAATGTAAAAAAAACATGGGTCCTACTCGATTATGGGTGTGCAGCTCACGGTCATGAGCGCTGATAGGCGTGAGCGTTTCTTCTCCAAATAGAATATGCAAGAAATTTCCGAATATTTGTTTCTTAAACTCGCTCATCTTACTACCGCAAACTACCAAGGAACAAAGCTAGGATCTTATTATATATATCTAGTAGGGGTAGCACATTACTATTAACAGTAATAAGTAATAACTGTTATTTCGAATTAATAGTACTAACTAAAAGCCAAGAAAATGAATAAAGTAATAAGGAAAAAATAAAGCAATAAAGAACTTGACCCTGGAATCACTTCTATTTATCGATATATTTCTACTTTCTCACCGCTAGGACTACAACAGCTCTCAGATCGTAGTTCAGATCAAACGAAAGAAAGAACGAACTGCTGAAACAGTTCTATTCACTGATTTGCCCACAATCGCTAGATTACTTGCATTCAATCACTAGTATTATTTGGGCCGTAATTAAGGGTAACCCATTCGAGCCCTTAGGTCCTATCTAGATGTGATTCCTGTGACTTTTGCATCCTATCTGGAGGTGGTCCCCGTAAATTTTGTGGATTTACACTGGAGTGGTTCCTTTAGCCATTTGGGATCTACTTAAGGGTTGCCCTTATGAATTTTTCGGGTCCGCTAAAAATAGTACTTCAAGTTTGAAGATATCACTGCTGGACAGAGTGACACGTTAAAGGGATGATGCTTATATGGGATTGAAAAAGCTATAGAAACTGCCAATAGTTACCAATAGGGTTATGTCCAGACCGAGACTTTCCATCTCCGTCTCAGTTATCGTGGTCGAGATTTTGGTCTCGCTCTCTCTCTTGTTCGCGGTTATTCTCAGTTCCAATATTGATGAGTGTTGGTCTCGGTTCATCCCTAGTTACGACTGAATAAGTTATAAGAATCCCCTCCCACACTGCGCAAAAGAATACAAGGGATGCCACTATATATGTACTGAAATGTTGCACAGATCAGCCCTACACTGTAAAAAAAACCCGCAGAATAATCAACCCTTGCCCTTGATTTTCCTTTTCATAAACTGTTGAGGGGTTTATTAGGATGGCATATATCCTTGAAAGATTCATGACCCAAAGGATTTTTTTAGAGTAAGGGTATTTGAAGAGGCACAGGGTATATGGAGCTCTTTTAAGGGTTTTGTATTTCATATTTTAAGGAAACCAGTTTATTATTAAACGATTAGGGGTATGTTAATAAGCGCATTTCTCACAAACGTTTACAACTCAGCAATGAAGGGTAGATTATTATTCGGTTCAAAGAGAGGGTTTATTATAATAGGCTAGAGGGTAGATTACTATTAGATGCTATTCCAAAGAGTATATTAATCTACACCTAATGGTAGGTTATTGTACTGTTTCAGACAGTTTTTAACAATCATTTATACTTTTTCTCCATATCTTTTATATTCAAAGATTTTTGTTAAAAATGATACATCACATATTAACTTAACTTTTTACTAATAGTATTTTCGTGTTTATATTTAGATCATCATGATCCGTTAATAAAATTTTGCAACCAACTTTTCATCTTAATTGACTAGTATCCTCTTGATAATCTGCTGTAAAGTATCAACATGTTAGTATTATTAACCATTTCAATTCATATTGCTTATATTCATGAAACATTCATGAAATTTTTTTTCCAGGTATCAATCTATTGTCATTTTATAAGTAGCTTCTTCTCAGATAGACAAGAACAACTGTTAAAACTTTAAATCTGTGCTTTTATATCTTGATGAATTACTTTCTAATCATAGCAAAATACCGGAACATTAGCACGTAGGTGTCATTAAGAATTTCTTCTATTTATTTTCAATTCGAAAACATTTCTTAAAAAGAATTCACCATAGATCAATATGCTTTTTCACTAATAGTGTTTTTTTTTGTTTATTTAGATCGATACAGTTAATGAAATAAGCTTCTCACAACGATTTCCCTTCTTCATCCATCTGTATTATTTCGTCGTTTTATGTCAACCACAAAATATGTGAGTATATCGTAGCTTGAACTCATCTTTTTTATATTCAAGGCAGTGTCTGTGGATAAGATTCTTTAGATATGCATCTATTCTTTTTAATAAATAACTATTTTTCAGATCAACAATAATCGCTAGACAGGAATTTCATTGTCGGGCGTTTTTCTTGGCCTATTCAGTTTCCGATCATCTGGAAACGTAGAACGAGGTGACAAATAAGTTAGGTTACAGTTTAGTTCATATTTTTTGTATCCAAGGGAAAATTCTTCAGAGATTTTTCTTATTGCAATGAATTTTTTATTACTATTTCTTTTGTTTGCTTGGATGATCAGCGATAGTTAGAATTGCAGTCGTGTATAATTTCTCTTTATTTTTCAGGTTCTTTTCAGCTTGTGCTTCACAACATATTTATTTCACTAAAAAAAAGCACCCTACGAAACTTAAAAGGGTTCCGAGATTTGCAACGAATTCGAAACCATTTTTCTTTATCATACAGAACCTTCGAGGTTCTTCAAGGGTTTCGTAAAGTCTCACAAAACCGTTAAAGATATCGGAGACCCCGACACAGGTTTCGTGAGACTATACGGAACTTTGAAGGTTCCGTACGATATCGCAAAAGGGTTTCGAATTCGTTGCAAATCTCGGAACCTTTTTAAGTTTCGTAGAGTACTTATTTTTTTTCACTGTTGGTATGCGTGATTTACAATTTTACTGGACGTCGCTTCTACTGAGGAAAGTAATAACAAATGTTTTCAATATATTGTTGGTTTTTAATATCTAATCTTTTTTAGTTTAGCTGATTAAAATTAATATTCAATTTTGACTCAAGAAGTGCTACTATAAGTTTGTTTATTTCAGAATTATCATATACCATTCAAGATCATGACGGTACGTTTAAATTATAAATATAACTGACATTTTTGTTTTGTAAAAATGTATCAAAAATATGATTCATATATCAGACTATTACCTTGCCTCAATAGAATGTTTGATTTCGTTTAGATAAACAATGAAGAAGAGAAGAGCTGACATTTCTAAACTTTTTTCAATGAGTAGATTCTATCCTGTAGGTTATTGCGAGTAACACACTAAAATATGACAATAATTATAGATTACATTTCATTTCTTTTATTGCAAGACAGTAAGTTAGATAGGTTTGTGCACATATGGATATGTTTTATATTTTTCAATAAAGATTTTCTTTCTGCCTAACTGCAGTATATTTACCCAGATTTCTGAGCAGAATTTCTTTGCTAACAAGATCATTTCTGGTCGATATAGCAATAATAGCAATTCAAAGAGACTCTTGCTGCTTTGAATTATGCCTGATCTCTATTTCATTAAGAAAACTCGTTATAATTATAGTACAGATACTAATGTAGGTTTTGATTTCTTTGATTTTAATACCACATTTGCATTATGAAGGAGAGCATTCAGGACGTTTTCTACTATTTCTTAATTTTCAGTTGGACGCTGCTAGTCAAGTAAAACGTACAGAAGTGTCTATATTGAAACATCATTTGTATTCAGAAGAGCAAGATTCAATACTAGATATTGTTATTAAGGCTATGTATTAGATTCTCTAAGCCACGTTTACTCAAACAGGAAGCTTCATCTGAACCATGTTGATTATTCTTTTATGAATATCATGTTGCCTTTATTACACTAATTCTAAGCTTTCTTTATTGAGGTGCTATATTCCAACTTCTTCTATAATACAATATGGCTATGGTTATTCAATGAAGCTTTATTATATATAGGTGAGTGTGCCTTTCATTTTAAGATGTTAATTGTCTTTTTTCATGCGAAGATTGATTTGTATCAAGCAGTACTTTCAATTAGCGGAATTAATAATAACTGTTCAATGTAAGAGAGAGAGCAATACATTGACAATATTAGTAATGTCTTCAATAAGAACTGTTCTCCTAATCAATTACTGATTTTCCGTTTAGATTCCTGCAAAAAATCTTCAAAACAAATGAATGGCTCTATAAATGAAATTTGCTTGCTATCTTTGAATCAAACCCAACAACATGGTCAAACACAAATATTATTGCCAGTAAGTGAAGCAATTGTACGATTTCATAGATGAGAGTGTAAATAGGTCAGCAACGGGATCTTCGAGCAATGATAACCCTGAAGAGTGCTACTTTAATACTACTAAAAGTTCAATATATAGTAGAAGTTTAGATGATTATTATAACATTACGGAAGAATCATATGATAATTTTACTTTAGCATTTTACGAGGTTAGGATGAAATTCTAAGGAGTTTCTTAGTAAGATAGATGGATTTAGAGGCTTTCTGGATGTATTCGTTTTAAACCGCTAACTGCAATCCTTTACGAAGTTGCTTTGTTTTCTGATGATTTAATTATCCTCTCTCTCTCTCTCTCTCTCAAATTTCTCTTCTCTTCGTATGCTTTAACCTGATAATTCTCTTGTTTATTGGTTAATTTATTAACGTTTCGATCGATAAAATCGACCCTTTTCAGATTAAAATGGGAAATGAATACAGAAAAAGCTGCTTTACTGATGACTCATCCAATTGTCAATTTTTTTGTTTATTTTCTTTAAAAGTATTACAGTACTGGTACGGAAAGACGCTATATACTAGAGCTGACTTTG